CCCGGCCCCTTTTGGCGGCCAGAAAAAAACCTTCCCCCGCCGCCGCCGACATCTGCTGTTAGTCTCCGTCAGGTACCGATAATAATCGGTGGCTGACGTGGCGGCCCAGCAGTAGGCTGCAGGACGTTTTCCTCAGACCCGGTGTCCTGTTCTAATAAGCACTCCTGCTAAAGCACTACGTTGTAAATGCGCATTAGCACGATGGGGGTGATTTTCCGTGCAGGGCTGCTTATTATGTCACAACACTGGATCTGCTTTGGAGATAAAGGAAGAGAAGATCTTCTCGTGAGGTGCGCTGCGGTGAAGTCTCCCTTCAGCAGCCTTGTGTTAGCGATGCTGGTCCTGAACCCTGTGAGCTTAATCATGAAAAACCAGCTGATTTTGTGAGTTTAATCTGGAGGATCAGATCACAACACCTTCGCCCCCAAAGGTGTAAAATATTAAATCCCAAACTAGTGGAGTTTCACGGAGATAAACAGCCATTCACACTGACATTGACAGTCAGTTTAGAGTAAACAATTAGACAAATCCCTAATCCCGAGTGAATAAATCCAACAACCATCTCTTCACTAATGGAGAAACTGACGGTGAAAACTGAACCCTGTGACTGAAGCTGACGTTTTTCAGAAAAAAAATTCATATTTGCTGCATGGAGTTTTCAACTTTCTCTGCTCTTTGTCTTTGGCTTTTCGTCACCGACATCTAACTCCATCCTGATTTTTGCTCGATGGACTTTAAAGTCTCCCTCAGTTCAGTCACGTCTTGATTAAAACCCCGTGAAACAGCGGCTTCATTTTCGGCTCTGGACTCTGGAGGCTGCGCTGCCCTCAGAACGACTCCTGGTCAGGTCCGGGTCTAAGTGGTCGTTAAGATTAATAAAGTGCAGAACAGACCGATTTACATCGATCAACATAAGAGACCGGTTCTAAAGAAGACTGACACGTAAGCACCAACGGGAGAGAAGACGAGGAGGTCAGAGGTTTCTGAACTCCACCGCCGTCAAACCGACTTTTACAAAGTTCATCGCTTGTCAGTTTTCTTACTCTGATCTCCACAGGAATAAATATGTGTTTTTATGGTGATTTACAGTTGTTGGGGTGAAAACTGTCTAGTGAATAATTAATCGCTTTAATCAAAGGCTTTGTAGTTAATTAATCAACTTTTGATCAAACAGCGATATTTAACTTAAAAAGTGAAATTAATTAATTTTGTTTGACAATTGAGAAATCAACTTCTTCTTATACAAGAGTCCCAAAAAGTAATTTTTTTTTTCACCCATCAAGTTTGACATTTTTGTAAAATACGATTGGAATTATTTTGTGGCCTCTGGTTCTCAGTGTTGTCTGTTTGTCACTTCATATCTGTTTATGCTGATGGAGTGATGAGTGAGAGTGAAGAGGAGGTTCTTGCCTTCTTTCCATTCCCCGTGGTACTCCTCCCCGTTTGAGTAGGTGAAGGATCCTCGTGTCAGGGTCATGGATCCTGCGTGGACACACCAGACAAAGTGAACGCACGTTTGTGAAGGTCAGGAGAATCAAACACAGAATAAAGTCCAGCCTTAATTTACTGAAGGGAACTCCCCAGGGATTATCCATCCATCCATCCATCCATCCATCCATCCAGATTCAGGGTGAATTCTGTCAGAATATCATCGTACTGTAGTGTTTATTTTCCACCCCTGGTGTCAAAAACATCTGATCATTTTCTACCATCTGATAAAATGATTGGACGTAAAGATGTTTTACAGTGATGTTATATATCGTACCGGCCCTTTAAATGACACTGTATTGCTGATTTGCCCCCCCACCCCGTTGGAAATAAGTTTATCACCCCTGGCTCTATGTTGTGTACAATAAATTGTACATTTGTTCTCACAGTTCTCCTTGTATTTAACTTAGCTTCTGATTTTTAGCTTCTTTTCCTTCTCTGGCTCTAAATCTTCTTCAGTTCTATATTGTTGCGTAATCGTAGTTATCTGTGAGTCTGTTTAGCAGAAATTTGTCAACAAAGCACGACAGGAGACGGGGCGTTGTGAGTGGACAGTCTTGTGATTGACAGCTGTGTCAACCGTCGGCTTCCTTCCGTTGTTGTCTTTAAACTCGGTCTTGGCCAAATCTGCCGCCGTGCCTCCTGTGGAACCCTGGGCCGCTCGTGTTCATGTCGTTCAACGACACCTGTCGGCTGGAGCTCCACGCTGAGCTCTGGGACCACAGACACCACAGACTCAGATTCAGGTTCCAGATGATGATTGGTCTGATCATTCATAATTGTCCAGATGCCATCAGACAGGCGGCCGCGTTCGACTGGAGGAGGAGTGTGTGTGTGTGTGTGTGTGTGTGTGTGTATCCCTCCATCTAATGTTGCCACAGTAACGGCGCCCCTAATCTCTCTCATCCAGTCGGTAGGATGCCTGCAGCCTCTCAAACAAACACACACACGCGGTGATGCAGGGGCAGAGAAAGGGAGAGCAGGCCTGCTGGGGTAAAAGAGAAGGTTTTACCTGTTTTTATTCACCAGCCGCTCGGTCTCTCTCTCTTTTTTTTCCTCCTCTCTCCCTGGAAGAATTTCTGCTTCTCTCAGCTCTTATTTTCTGCCTTCTCCATTGCTGCCACTGTCCGGGCGAGAGCTGCCTCAGCGTCGCTCCAAGGTGCCAGGCTCTGATTGGCCGCTTCACCTCCACCTCAACTCAATGAGGGCCCCGATTGGCCGAGCGCGCTGCGTGTCCGTCCCCTCGGCGGGAGACCTGTTTGTGGAGGGCACGGGTTCAAACACTTAATTAGCAGGAGTGCTCCTCCTCCTCCTCCTCCTCCTCCTCCTCCTCCTCCTCCTCCTCCAAAGTCTTTGCCCTTGCCTTTTTTTTATGTTCTGCCCAGTGTCTCTGAAGGATTATAAAAACAGAAGCGAGGTTTCCCTTTAATGCCACCGTGTCATTTCTTGTTTCAATTTCGGTGATTAGACCCGCGTTTTGTCCACTTTTATGGAACATGATTTATTGTTGCAGCTGCACCGAGGAGGTGAGGCAGGTTTGTTAAATGGGGGGGAGGTTCG